CAGTCCGAAATAAATGAATCGCAGCGCGGATATCTCCCGGTTTTGACAACGACGCTTGTGTGCTGTATGTGTGTCTCTTTCTCTGTTTAATGTAACAAATGATGGGAGGAAGCTTCTACACTGGCCAACAGCGGCCCTGAGAGTCCAAACACATGCAGTGCAGAAAATCACACAATGCAGTAGAATAAATAAATATAGCTTTCAGCTATTAAAAAAAGAATGAAACAACACCCTATTTTGAAAGAAATTAAATAATATGTGACTGCTGATTTAAAAGGACATATGACATTATGCAGATAACTATATGGGGAGTTCAGTTGCTGTTGGTAAGTATGTGGTTGCTTTAATTAAGAATAATCCTAGAACAAAGAATAAATGGGTCTTGTGGAGTTGATCAGTAACAGTTAAATCCTAAAATATTACCTCTCAAATAAATGCCAACTTACTATGAACTTAACAGTCCCCCTTTAATTGAAGACAGAGATGAAATTCAAATAATGAAGTCATTATTCTCTTACAAGAAAATCAGAAAAAATGTATTATCAACTGTTGGTAAATCATTTATATTATATGTGATTAATAATATATTTGGAAGTTAAGATGATAAACTGACCACTGGAAAGAAACATACAGGCTATCCTTCAGTAGCTTGATCATTTAAAATCTTGTCAGCAATGACCAGAACCAAGATGATAAGTTAGGCAACTAAAAATGTTCACCAGAAGTAGTTTTTTGCTGCAGAAATGGAGCACAAGGCGACTCATTACCATATACACAGGTGGAAAATGCAAACAACATGCTCAGCAAGAATAACTCTGGTAGGAATGTTTTAAATTAATCCATTCACCAAAAAGTTCAGTCTCATGCTAGTAGGTGTTTCTGGTCTGAATAGAAAAGATACTGAAGAACTCATTGTAGACGAATTCAGTAATGATCAGTTGATCTCCTCATGTTTGTGCTGGGTAACTTAAATATGGCCACATCTTCCCACACTATTTAACAATATACTATTTGGAACAATTGTTTCTAAATGCACAATTCTTCACCTGTTACAATGTTTATCTTTTGCAGTATCCCTCTCAAGTTAGCACTATCCACGACAATGGTGCTGAATGCTCAATATATCTCCCAGTAGGCAGGACCCATGGTTTCAATTTCAAATGATGTGAGGCTGTTTCAGTGTTGCAATGTTGCAAATAATTGGTATACTTATTCCGAAAGAGATTAATGAACACAAGTCACATATACCCTTATCAAATATTATATGAAAATCCACAAAGGTGGGAAGTCCACAGTCAAAAATCTTTTCATAAATCAGATAAAAACAGATCTCATTTCATTTAAATTAGACTATTTGAAGGCCACTTTTTGATGTGGACTGAGTTTTCTATACAGTCTAGAAAAAATAAGTTGCCAGTACAATCTGAAGCTTGGCTTGAATGAAACAATTTTGAAAAAGTCAACCTCATCTAAGTCTCACGCATTTACAATTTCCAATATTGGGTGATCTAACAAGGGACAAGTCAGCCAAAACAAGACTGTTCTTTGTGTCATTCTGTAATTTTCTAAAGACATTTATTCATGTAAATATCCTATTAAATGTTTAACAAACTTAGCAAACAACACAATCACAAAAAAAGCTGATACTGGACAGTTCTGTAAAATCCTGGATTTATTCCCACTGTTTTCACACACCCAACGTATGGTTAAAATATAAAGAACAAAACTTAAATGTTACTGAATTCAGCAGTCAAGACATTCAACTGTAAGTGGATCATAAAAGTGTCTTTAGAAAAGGTAGGTTGTAAGGATGGAAAACTAAGAAGAAGGCACAAGTCATTACATTCATATGACATATGATTCCCAGATTTCCAAGAGGCCCAAGTTTAGTGTGTAACATAATAAATAGATGCAAAAAGTGCTGCCATTAAAGGTGTAATGCAAAACTTTGTGTCACTCCATGAGACTAACCTCTAGAGGAGAGTCTGGTTCATCCAGGATGCTCTTTTCACTCTGTATCCGCTGCATCGTCCCTGTAGAACTGGGTCCATTATCAGGACGTTCTGGATACCAGCTCTGCGAACTTACAGTCACTCTTTCTGGAGTCAGTTTGTCCTTACACACCTTCGTAATTGTTACACGTGTTGGAGAGTCCCTGTCCCCAAAGTGTCTGAGTAACCGTGGAGGATAATATGGAATCACAGGAGAGATTGGAAGTGATACAGGACGCGAGACTGGTGCTCCATCTGTAGATTTTCACTGATATAATAACACTAAACACGTGATGAAGAGAAAGGAAACTACCAGCCAAAGCCAACACTAAGTAAAAAGTCAGGTTTCATTGTACTCCTTGTCATGTGTAAAGTCAATGAACTCCGACAGCACTTCAGGGAAGCTGTTCTGCACCGCCACGTTTAACAATGGACTGTAAGGCTGAACGAGAGGGCTGCCCGTCTTCCTCCACTATAACCCAGTCAGTCCTTGTTTCACAGCATTCTTTATCAGTACTTGTGCGGATAGCTTCTTATTTCTCCATTCTGTTAAGCCCAACTTCAAACAGCGCCCTGTCTGTTGGCTTTCTGCAGCTTTATAGGAGGGAGCCAGCATTCTGGTCCAGAGTCCACTCACAGCCACCACTTTAGTGACCCAGACTAGCCCCACATCTGCTGAGCGAGGCACCATCTCAGCCACCAGAGAGCCCACCAGTCTGGACTGGGTAACAGGAAACCTTTTAGGGGGGTTGTCGTTTCTGGTCCTGGATCATTATTTTCACACTCACATTGCTACTGAGTGGAGGGGAGCCTCCATCCTGAGCTTTGACACGGAATACAAGCTGTTTGATCTGCTCATAATCAAATGAGCGCACTGCATGTAGAACTCCAGTTTCAGAGTTTATGGATACATAAGAAGAAACTGGGCTGCCACTAACCTGCGTTTCCTCCAGAAAGTATGAGATTCTTGCATTTTGATTCCAATCAGAGTCTTGCGCACTAACAGTGAATATTGACATGCCAGGGACATTATTCTCAGTAATAAAAGCAGAATAATTCGGTTTAGCAAAGAGCGGAGCATTATCGTTCACATCAGAAATTCTTAGGTGTAAAGTTGTTTTAGTAGAAAGTGGGGGTGACCCTGAATCGGTTGCAGTTAAGGTTATGTTGTACTCTGCTTTTGTTTCACGATCAAAGGGTGCATCTGAAAGCAAATTGTAATAATTAGTTAAAGAAGACTGGATTTTAAAGGGAAGATTAGAATCTATGGAGCATGTTATCTGACCGTTTCTTTCAGAGTCTGCATCTTTGACATTAAAAACAGCTATAGTCGTACCTGGAGAGACATCCTCTGAAATCAGGCTGGAGAAGGACATAATATTTATGATCGGAGCATTATCATTTATGTCAGTGATCTCAATGACAACTTTAGTTGCGTCACTTAAGCCACCCTGGTCTTTGGCGATCACTCTTATTTCGTATTTTTTGTCCTTTTCAAAATCAATATTATCAGCCACAGTTATTTTGCCAGATAAACTATCAATTTCAAATTTTTCGCCTGAATTTCCCTTTACATTAGAAAAGGTATATGTAACCAAGCTATTAGAACCACTGTCGGCATCTGAAGCATTCACAGTAGCTATATAGGTGCCTATGGGTGCATTTTCTGTCACCGTAGCAGTGTAGAGTGTCTGATTAAATACGGGAGGATTATCATTGGCATCAATCACAGTTATATCTATATTTACTGTACCAGATCGCTGTGGCGTTCCTCCGTCCACTGCAATCAGCTTTAAAGAAAGGCGTGGATTTAATTCTCTGTCTAATGGCTTCTGTAAAATCATTACGGCGAATTTGATTCCATCGGCGTTGGAGTGTTGCTTTAAAGCGAAATTATCATTAGGGGATAAAATATAATTTTGCAAGCCGTGAATACCTGCATCGGGGTCATCGGCGCTTTCTAAATCGAAATGCGATCCTATTGTTGCAGATTCACTAATTTCTAGTTTAATTAAATTATTTTTGAAAGTTGGAGCATGGTCATTGACGTCTAATATTTCGACTGTCACCCTGTGCAGTTCAATCGGATTTTCCAAAATAATTTCGAAGCTGAAACTGCACGGTGTTACGTCTCCGCAAAGCTCTTCTCGGTCGATTCTCTCATTCACAACTAGAACTCCTTTGTCTGTTTTTAGCTCAGTGTACTGATTGTTTTCTCCGGTCACGATACGGGCCCGACCAGAACGGAGCCTTCTCAGATCCAAACCCAGGTCTTGCGCTACATTACCGATAAGAGAGCCCTTCTTCATCTCCTCCGGTATTGAATAACGGATTTGGCCGTTGATGGTGGAAATCCTCACGGCAAGAATGAACAGATGCCATGTAAGTGTCCAACACATCAGCCATTTTCCGCATCGACGCTGGCATATATCCATGTCGTAAAGAATACAATCCTAAATGCAGCGGTAAATTAGATCCCCACAGCCACACACGTAGTCGAAAGCTACCTTCCACTTCAGCAGTGCTGCATTTCCGTCAAGCAGGATGTTCTATTATTATCAAACAAAAATGCCTCTTTCCAAGCGACTGTATTTCCGTCGAAGCCTCCTTGTCTGAATACAGTGTTTCTGCCTCTCCTCTTTCTCCCCTCTTTCACTCTACTAACACAGTTTTCCTGACCAACAGCGTCACTTAGAGTCCAAACGGAAGAAAAGAACCAGGCCATCTGCCAGTAGGTTAAAAAACAACATTCCTATACAATCTAGTCTGGGGAAATATAGGAATAAAACTATAAAAATATATGAAATATCTCAACCAACCCACGATGTAACATTAAATTACAAACTCTAAACATAAACAAACCACAAACAGAAATCCAGTGATTTACAGCAGTGTTACCAAACCAAACTCTTTTTGAAACTGTCCAGCATTGTAGTGCTGAATGTATGAATAACGTTCAATTCTGCCTGCAGTTAAATGGAGATGTTAAAGAGGAACAGTAACTACCACGGAAAATGAGTATGTCATAGTAAAAAAAAACTCAGTCAGTACAAAAGGGCTATTTTGTTGCAACAAAACTAAATAAATACAAATTATCAGTCCGATTTAACACACAATGTAAAAGAGTAAAATAAATGTGCATCTGAAATAATATAACAGCATATCATTGTCTGAGAATGTGTGTAATTTTATCTTTTTTAAGTTCTGAATACGAATACATAAGCAAGTGATGTAAAATGAGATGCTGTCCATGGTGCTGAAAATGACTGTATAGCGGGCAACAGTTTACTATCAGTATAACTAATCAGAAAAAGCGGCAAAGAGCTAAATTATTTAACTAACCTCTAGAGGAGAGTCTGGTTCATCCAGGATGCTCTTTTCACTCTGAGGAACGATGCAGCGGAACCAGGAGTGGAAAGAATCCTGGATGAACCAGACTCTCCTGAGGTTGCTTTGTCTTATTATCAAAGTTATATGAATCTTACAGCTTTTTATTCTCAAATAGCTATATTTTTAGGCCTATTCCTGTATCACTCCAATTTCTACCTTTTTTCACCTTTTCAAATACGGTAATCTTAACATGCTGAATTTTTTGTTTATCATGGTTGAAATTGTTGGGTTTTTTTTCGATTCAGCACCATGACAGTGCACGACAATGCCAGAGAAAAATTGCCCTCTGTCAGTGATCCTCTCCTCTCCTCTCTCTCTCTCTTCTCTATCTTCTCTCTCTATCTCTCTCTCTATCATCTATCTATCTATTATCGTATCTTTCTATCTTATCTATCTTCTAT